TTGCTACTGTTAACTTTGATGACTTTTTGGATATAATAATGCAGATTCCAAGTTTGATTTTTTGGCAAGCTTTGTGATTATTAGTTGCATCTCTTCGTGATGTCGCAACTGTAGCCTGAACCTTCGAATACACTACCTCTGCTGATACTGCTAAATTTGACCCTTTTTTTTTTAAAAAGGCGGAGTTTGACGATATCGCGTAGAGTTGTAGAAAAGCCCGTTTTCCATATCTGCGCACGCTTCAGACTGCATTTTGGAATCAGTGAGAAAGATAAGCCTATGTATTCTCCAGTCAATCTTTTCAAAGCCCTGCCATTGATTGAAGGATGCTTCTTCTAGTCGGCAACAGGTGTTGCCGCAGTAAAAAGATGCACACGACATACGGACTTGTACCAAAAATATAATATGTATGCAACTTTGGCCATTTAATATCTTTCTCCCCACAAGTCTTTTGCTGACCTTCGGTTAACACGCGGTAGAAATGGCTTTAATTACAATGAGATTTACAGCATGGAGTAAATCGTTGATCTATTTCCATCACAGTATTATCACGGTAGCAAGTGGAGTACCACTGTTTTTTTTCGGGCGAAAAGGTGCACATTCGCCCTATTTATGTGGAATCACCGTAACATGGCCATATCTCGCTTCGGAGTGGACGAATTATTAATCCAAAGCCACCATTCGACTCAACTCGGCGCGGCACATCTTCCGATACACAAAAGTGTTTGCTTGAACATAGCAGGAAATCAAAACCCACGAATTGCTTACAGTAGGTTGCTCAGTGAGCTTATTCATTGCACTCACTGGGCAAACCTACCATAAGCAAAAATCTAAAGGATCGCGGAATCCGACGTCCTTTTGTGCAGAATAATTGTATGAAAAAGGTTTTAGCCACTGAAAACCATATTTCGCACTAAAAACTGAATCAAACCCAAGAACTTTGCTAATCAGAATGACTCTAACAAGGGAAGTTCACTTAGTCGAAGTGGCGATTCGGAGGGAGATCTATACCAGTGGATAGAGCTTAAAAAGCTGATCACAGATATACCTTCTATATCTGCGATGCGTTGTTCTGAAAAAAGTTATGAGCTTTTCTAAAGCCAAATTTTCGTGCATTTTGAGTCGCAAAATCATGATAATCGCTACATAAAAGTGTGCAAGCTTGAGCAAACCACCTAGCAAGCATTGTAGGTCTAATTCGAGTTCATCCGAACGTTTTCGAGTGTTTTCCGACCATGTTATTTAATCAGAGGCCGTCATTTCATTCCTAGATCACACTTCCATTATATGTACAAAAAAGTCCATAACCTCCATCTAGAAAAAACGCGTCGCGTAGGAATCCTTTTGGAAACTACCAATGGATAGAACGTAAAACGATGTTTTCAAACATATCTTCAATATCTGCGACACGTTCTTCTAGATGGAGGTTATGGACTTTTTTGTACATATAATGGAAGTGTGATCTAGGAATGAAATGACGGCCTCTGATTAAATAACATGGTCGGAAAACACTCGAAAACGTTCGAATGAACTTGAATTAGATCTACAATGCTTATTAGGTGATTTGCTTGAGCTTGCACACTTTTGTGTAGCGATTATCATGATTTTGCGACTCAAAATGAACCAAAATTTGGCTTTAGAAAAGCTCATAACTTTTTTCAGAACAACGCGTCGCAGATATAGAAGGTATATCTAAGATCAGCTTTTTAAGCTCTATCCACTGGTATAGATCTCCTTCCGAATCGCTACTTCGACTAAGTGAACTTCCCTTGTAAGTATGCAGCCTACTGAAGCGGTGCTTTCTTTGCGAGTTGTCCCAAGTATAGCAAAATAATTGTTCCATGTTCCTCAAAACATTTTGTTCATTTGAAAAGCCTTTACAGACTCCAAATTTTGTGAAATTCTCGTGCGTAAACACTCTAATACACAGCTTTGCACATTTTCCCAAGTTTTTTTTTATTGAAACGGCAGCTTATTCAATTTGACGGGTGTGTTGGAAGTGAACTACCATACTAATTAAAAAAGATGATTTGCTTGAATTATAAATACAAGTTGAAGGCGGACTAGAGAATGTTTCTGAAAGTCAACAAGAACTTTGCGAAAAGAAAAATACCATCTGAGTAATGCATACACACTTTTAGAACATCCTGTATAGTTTCTTTATTTTACGCCAACTGTATTTACGGAAAAACATAAAAGTGTGCTGTGTAGATACAGCCATAATGCTCGTATTTATTCCATCGCAAATGTAGGTAAATATATCAATTTTTTGCTGTAATAACGAATAAGGGACGCATATACCAAACTCAGCGCGATATAACTGTATTCGCAGCGAATTGCTTGGGTCCTTGTAACACTCTTGATTTATTATGAGGCAGGGGCAGTTTCCCTTAGGCCGAAAGTTGTACTTCAAAATCATTCTTATTTGAGGCAATTCAGATTTGCCTGTAAGGCTGCCCCTTAAGAGATCTGGACTATTGTGAATTTAGTGACATCTAAGAAGTTGTCGAAATGCAGACATTGGTACAGCATATAAAATAAGGGCGATCTGCACCAGATGATTGTTGTCATTTTTAGAAGCCACAACGCAACTGTTACAGTATAGAACGGGAAATACCAACAGCTAGCTTCCTTCCAATGTCAACAATATGATCCGCTTTCTGACTTTTTCTTTGAGGTTTGATTATGGCTTTGTAGTAAGGGCTAAGAAACCTTGGATAAATTTGTGTTTAGAAAAAGATCTCTTTGAATATGCTCTGAGGCTGTGAAACACCTTGAATACAAGAATCTCTTCCACAGAAACGAATTGTCAATTCGCCCTGGCCTCTCAGTTCTTATACATATGTTCATCCTATAATAGCTATTTGCAATTTTTGCGCTTGAGTTTTACACAAGGTATTCCAGATTTGAAATACCTGCAATTTTTTTTCTTTCGTAAATTTAATGTTATTTGAATGTGTTGGTATATGGTAAGCCGAGCTAAGGGTAGTTTATGAGTAGTGAGGCCTCACGCTTAATCTCATCGTCTCCTTTACGTGTCCGTGGGTCTCCTTTAATGGGTAAAACGTAGCATAAGTCCTGTGCAATTCGTCGGAAAGCATTAACAAGAGAAGGATATATTAGCAGTAAAAACCAGTTTTGATTTTGGGAACAGGCGCGCTCGACCTGGGGGACGTACGGGGGTAAGAATGGAGGAGTAAAGCGGTAGCCGGTGAATATCACAGATCCGTCAGAACTGAAGGAGTGACTGCTGTGAACAACATACTGATTCCATCGAAATCTCAGTTAAATTCAAATTATTCATCTCTTACCTCACACATACCGTAGGCCAAAGAAACTTGCTGTGTAAATTGCAAGTATGATTCCCGTAAACAGTTCGATAATTTTCCTCTATAAGCTTTACAAATCATTACCTGCGTACATTTTCTATTGTTTCGTAACCTCTAAAATCTAAAAAGCGTGATTTTCAAACATGATTATAATGGTCAGCGAAAGAAGCCAGCTTTTTTGTACTCACAATGAAGTACTCTTTATCAGTCTACGTTAGCATAAGTTCATACTGCTCTTAAATAAGGGATTAAGAAGTGCTGCCAAACTATTCCGCATTTTCTATTTGTTTTTAACCAAGAGTGCTTCAACCAACTTTAAGAATCATGAAAGAGTCGTAACAAGTCTAGATAAGTTCAGACATTTACTATGGAATCCTCGAGGTTTGTGCTAGCTACTCAACTAGAATGGAAAAGCTTCTTCAGTGTTAAAGTTAATCGGGTGAGGCACAACTCTTTAAAAGCTTTGGCTGCCTGAGCTTTTGTATTGTGCCTGACCCCCTTAGCATGTCTTCAAAATTTGGAAATCTCTCCATATCTGATGCGATTACTGATCTCAAAGCTTCTTCTTGCTAAAATGAAAATTTGGAGCCAAGCACCCCATTCATGAGGAAATTATGACACTTTCAAAAGACCCGTTCAGATCAAAAGCTGCAGCCGTGTTACGTGTGATTATAAAGTTCATGAAAATCAGGCGTACAAATGTCAAAAATATGGAAACTCTTTGAAGATATGATGTCTCTTGAAAAGTTGCATATTGAGATTCTTGAGGTGAAGAGGGATAGGAGGAGGTCCTTGGGGATCTTTTAGGATAGGTAAGGAGTCGTTTATGAAAGAGCTCTGCCTGATCTTTTGCTCAACTCTTGTCATTTGCTATGTGCGCAAGGAAAGGGCACACTGAGGAGCTTCGATGGCTGACGCGCCTCTATTCTAGAGATAAAAATGGACAGCAGATTTGGTGTCAACCTCATGGTTTTTGAGATAATCAGATCTAGGAAAATCAACTTTGACTAATAGCAAATGTGATTTTTTATACGATCTGTTTAGGATAGTTATGCAGTTCACTGTACAATTTCAATCATCCACCAATAAAAACTTTGCTTCACGCCAGAAGTAACGCTTCTGGCAATATTTGCGGATGAAGCCTTCCTATGTGTTTGAGCTCATAAGCATTAGATTCATTGAAGAGAATTTCTACACATTCGTGAAAAAAAAAGAACATAGTGCTGGTGCATTTATTGGGGCAAATTCTTCGAAATTTGATGCAGACGCATAAAAAACGCATCGAGTTTAATGGTTTGAGCAAGAAACAACAACAGAAACTTTATTTTCCGCAGAAAACTCTTTTCAGCTATTACTTAGTTTTCTTCTTCAAACCAACTTGTTTTTCCCTGCGATTCGTATATCCCCTGTCATTCAGGCACTTCTCGAAGCAGGCGCAGTAATTAAACCTTCCAGCTTTGTTCTGTATTTCATGTTCGTGCTGTTTTCTCCAGCAGAACCTTGTGCACTAAAAACGAGGTTTTGCTTTACCAATGCAGACACTGATTGATCTGGAAACTTGCGTCGTTATGTGCTTGCAGTGCTAGACTCTCTTGCCTGTCTTCTTCAGTAGCTTTAAAACAGCAAGGGAAAATACATCCCATGACAGCACATACATGCAGTAGAACCAAAATGAAGCACAGCTTGAAAGACATAGTACCTGGAATGTAAGTTGTAAAGCAGAGGGCAAAATTCTAGCAATATGTAACAGGAATTATTTTTTTTCTGGGCTGAAAGATTTATTCTTATTTTGATGCAAACTATTTCCGTTGCTACTTTTCCACTTCTTACTGAATTTGTATGATATTTAAAACAAAGGCCAAAAAAGTCGTGATATTATTGCAACATCCAATCTATAAAAACAATTGCTATGTTTTGAGCAGATCTTTTGATATGGAGGTGACAAAAAAAGGCATGCAGAAATGTTTTTAACAACGCCTTGATTGAGAACAAATGTGCTGTTTGTAAGGCTATTTTAAGTTTACTGTAAGAGTAGAGAAGATGTGATTGAGCTAGCTGCATTTCTCCGCAATTTTGAGCCTTATGACCTACTACGAACGCTAATATGTACTAGGTTTTCGTTTTGACACACTGGTCACATTTGGGATTCAAAGAGTTCGGCGCAAGTTTAGCTCAGTTTGACTCAATTCAAGACAATCGTTTTTATTTTCTACTCACAAAAAAATTGTGCAAACTTTGAAGGAAACTCATTTTCTTTTAACACAAACGTTTGGATAAAGCCTGAAAGAAGCGTAATAAGCAGAAGTTCAAAAATTCGCTGGCTGATGTGGGTGAGTAGGCTCACATTTCTGGTTTTCTTTCTGAGCAAGAAAGAAAAAGACAAAAAAAATCTTTTTGCCATGCGGCAAAAAATACTGCAAACTGAGTGCTTTGGAGCGATAGAGGAGATGGCTGCAGTAGCCATAGAGCTGCTTGATCTGATGAGGGCTTCAACCTCGGGCTTAAATACTGAATTCAACCCCATCCACCACATTAAGCAGATGCTGTCCAAATAAGAGAGAACAAGCGAGTTATGTGCTATAGCTGTGTACTCTTGTAGAGACAGCTGCAAAATTATTTTCGCTTATTGTGGTTTCGATATTCAGTGTGAGTCTGGATAAGTGCAGTGAAAGTATAACTCCCCGTGCATGTTAGCACAGTCGCATATTTTCGTAGGTGGTTGCAATAAACGTTTCATTACTGAATAAATTTTATTTAACAAAAGTTCATTGAAAACCCTATGAAATAAACAGTGCACGAGATGAAGCTCGAACATCGCAAAAACAAACATTTACCATGTGATTGCCTGTTTTCATTTCAGGATATTGTATGAGAAGGCTTAAACAAGTAGCTGACTTTGGGTTGTAGACTCTCCACAAAAGCAAGTGGTCATACAAATATCATCCGAATAACAGATTTTCGTGATGCTGTTTTCTGTAGAGTCTATTTATTGGTTGAGTGCTTATTTTCCTGTTTTTCCTCTGCATCTTCTCGTCTCTTTCTTTGGCAATTTTGAGCTCAGCTAGACAATACTGTCCACAATTAGAAAAAAAATTGGGAATGCTGTCAAAAAACCCTTTTACGGGTTCTTGTTTCAAACATAATTGCAGAAACATAAATTTTCTTCTGTTAAAGTTGGTGACTTTCACTTGGGTATAAAAAAGCAGACTCCAAATTTGATTAAATGCTTTGGTTATTAGGTACATCTCGAAACATACTCCGCTTATACTTCTACATTTGACCCGTTTTTTTTTGAAAGACGAAGTTTGAAGTTCGACGATAACGGGTGAGAATTGTGGAACCCGTTTTCTACATTTGCGCACTCTTTAAACTGATTTTTGGAATCGGAGGGAAAAATAAGCCCAAGCATTCTCCAGTGAATCTTAGCGCTCCCTTAACTGAAGGATGCTTATTCTAGGATGCTTTGATATACGGGTGGTGTCTGAAAAATACGTATGCTACTTTGGAATAGCATAGTCTTCTTCCCACTGGTCTCTTGCTGTCCTTTGGGTAATATGCTGTAAAACTGGCTTTAATTTACAATGAGATTTACAACATGGGGTAAATCGATTATATTAGGTTGTTGCAAAAATAATTTCCGTTTTTCTAAGCCTATTTTCCAAAGAACTTTTTTTCCATCATACTTTCTTTTTCGATAAAGAATATGTATATACTAGAAAGCTCTCCCCATGTACTTTCTAACGGTGACGGAGTTAGGCTGCTATTCTCATTTATGAGAATTTCAGCAGCATTTTGCGCATCCGCACTCAAAATCGGAATCTCATAGCTTTCACTTTCTTGACCACAATTCAAAAATAAATAAACGAGTTCTTCTGAAAAAATAGCAATTGTATTGGATGAAGATTGTTTACCTACTGCATGCTTATGTAGATTTTTGGAGATATCTGACTGAGAAATTGACGCCTCGAAATAGATATTTGCTGCTGCCATTCTATAGGTCAGAAATTTCTCATAATTAGGGCAATCGCCAAAGCTTCGCCCATTTCTGTAAGCTTGAGATAAGCACATCTTAACTACAATTTTTAAGGAAAATTTAGCTATTACGCGATGAATTCCAACTTTTCATGATTTGGCGCTTGCAAGCCTACAACAATTAGGCTCAAAAAAGGGCACATTTTTGAATTTTTATCTTTTCTTTTCGCAGAACTTCTATGTTAAAGTCTTTTCTACACACACGTAAACTCATGGCTTGCGACTACAAAATAAGCTGTTTGCCAGCCATACGAACGAAAACTGAAGCGAAGTTGTAAGCTCTTAAAGACGAGGTTTTCAGAAGAAAAACTTTCAGTTTTTTGACGCATAGTCTTCTTCCCATTTGCGATATCAGTATGAGCAGGTACGTGCTAATACGAAAGGTTTGCTGTTTCTGATGGTCTTGACTGCATTCAAAAATATGAAGACTAAACCAATTATAGCCTTCCAAAGTGAAGATTTGCAAAACGGACATTATTTTTGCAACAACCTAATATTAGGTTGTCCCGAAAGTTTTGTCCGTTTTTTCAACCTATTATAAAAACACAAGGAATGAAGGTAGAAAAACGCTCTAAGCACTACCCTTTTCCTCCTCTTTCTAATTGTCATAATCTTGTGCAGATTACTCTTTTGTTCACTGAGATAAACGCCGAAATTTCGAACCCATGGTTTTTACTATGTCCAAGTTTGGCAGTTTTTCACAATCTTCGTTTTTGACTCTCGGAAAAGCTCTGGTAGCAATTAGATAGAGCAAACAAAGGGCAATATAATGCACTTTTGCGGCATCTATAGCTAGCTTTGAAAATTTTTCAAAATTATTTTTCTGATGCTATCAAATTCCACTTTTGGTGATGCCTTTTTGTAATTCTACAAAATATTGGCTTTAGCTGTAACTGTTCTTAAGCTTTATTAACAATTCACCTTAGTCTATGAATCAGCTGTACATCCCGCAATCTTGCTAATAACTTTGCCTGGTGTTTCGTTAATGCTCTGCCATGCTGTCACTTATTAACATTCAAACATTAACCAATTCTCAATGTTTTTACAAGTAGCTAACAGTAGCATCAAGTCTACCAAGCTCTTAACTGTAGCATGAAGAATTGTAATGAGCACTCCTCGCTTCTCATGGCACGCATATAAAAGAAGCTGCCGTTTTCTCATGGTGGGTTTGGTACCTATCGAATAAACGTCTACTCACAACTCCTCGTCGCACAACCAAAACGGTCAATCCCAAACAATTGGCGACCCAGCAAGGACCTCTTCGTCTTACGCAGGTAAAAGGAAACCTTCTATAACAGGACAAGCAGCAAACGTACGTTTTCTCCACAGTGCAGTAATGTCCGATAGTGCTAGTATCCGACGTCAAATCGGATTTTTCAAGAAGCAATTGCAAAAGTATTGCTCAGACGCAAATGTTTTACATTGAGGGAATACGACATCTCCCCTACTGCCCCACAACTCGAAGCTCTCAGCGATAATGCTATCGAAACCTTTCGACTGGAAATTACTGCAATCCGATCCAACCTGCTCAAGGCTTATGCCAAAATCACAAAACTGGACGAGGAATGGAATGCACTTCAGCAAGCCAGCCCCGAAGAGCAACAGGTACTCGCCGATTACCTTAAAAAGTATGGTGATTATCATGTTACTGTTGCTGACGCTGTCAAACAGTTGGAAACTCTTGACGTTTTGCTGAATTCCATCGATCAAGAATTTACTCGCCGCCACCTCACTCTTTTATCCATTTCTTCTGAAACTCACACACCAGACGAAGATCAACCTTGGAACCGAGGGACAAATCTCCATGTCCCCGCCATTTCGCAACCCACCGATGTTTCTCTTTTAAACTTTGTCGATGCTTCCATCCTCTCCAAACTTGAACTACCCACTTTCGATGGAAATCTTCTCGATTATCCCGAACTTCAATCTCGATTTGCTACCTTAGTCGGAAACAAAGTCCAACTGGACGACACTACCAAATTTTCGCTTCTCAAATCATGTCTCCGAGGAAAAGCATTGCAAGTCATTCAAGGTTTATCCATGACCCCTGCCAACTATAAGGTAGCGATGGACATTTTGCGAACTCATTTCGATGATAAAGTCACACTCAAGCATATACTGTACACAAAGCTTGCATCTCTACCACCGTGTGATCCAGAGGGCCGCAATCTTCTCCCTCTTTACAATCAGATGTTTTCGCTTGTGAGACAGTTCTCTAACGGTAATGACGATTCAACAGAGAAAGCTCTCGGTGCTCTTCTCCTCAACAAACTTCCTCCTCGTGTGAAAAGTCAAATCTACGATCAAACTCAAGATGACCACAATGTTTCACCGTTAGAAATGCTTCACTCACGAGCATAGTTCGCAAAGAATCCACTCTTTCGGAAATGGAACTCTATTCGAAATCGCCCTTCTCTGGTCCACTTCACTATCCTCATCAAGGAACCTACACTACCACGAAGCATCCACGGTCTCATTCACCAAAATCCGTCAAATTTCGCCAAGGTTGTCCCTTTTGCGACTCACAGCTCCATTCTGCCGTAAATTGTACCAGCTATGCTACACCACAACAACGCTTTCAACAAGCAAAAAAGCGGAGACTGTGCTACAACTGTCTATCTCCTCGTCATAGCAGCAAAGAATGCCCTTCAAAATTTCATTGCCGGCTTTGTTCGAGAAGACATCACACATCTCTATGTTTATCCTCGGAAAGTAAACCTCCGATGACAGATACTTCCAAGACTACCGCTCATCATCCCTTCTCCCGCCCATTTCACCCACGCCAACCCACTTCATCTCGATCCCAGAATCATGCTGTTCATTTCGACAACATCATCCAAACCTCTTGTGCAGATGAAGAGACGAAGGAAACTCAGGCAGCCCCCACTTCCGACCGAAACCCACAGGACATCACTCTCACATCATCTCAGAGAAATTCACCAGCTCCTTTGATGTGCACAGAAGTCAGAATCTTCAATCCTGATAATCCCTCCCATTCCCTCACTACAACGGCTTTTCTCAACTCCGGCTCCACCACCACCTATATCACCAACGATCTTGCTGCATTACTCGACCTACCCGTCATCGAGACGGAAACACTCAACGTCGCAACTTTCGGCGAACCCATAGAGATAGAATCTTCGACTTTCCGATTAGGAATTGAGACCGAAAACGGCAACAGATGTTTCACGGTAAAATCTTCCCCTTCGTTACCAAATGAAGTGATGCAAGTAACTCCCGGCGGTACTTTTCCGTTATCCGGACCCATTTTTTTGAAAAGCTCTCATAAAACATATTTTCTATTTTAAGAACGATTTTTTTACAGTGTCAGAGGACTGCCTCCCTGCCACGTGTCAGGAAAATATTGACAAGTTTTGGTCTACTTTGACCCGTTTTTTTCGAAATCATTTCCGGTGAAGTAAGAGAGCATTTGTGATCACCTAAAAGCTATTTAGTTGTTTTCTATAAGCGAAAAAACAACCTAGAACTTATATAGGACCGATGGTTTTCAGCAATGATTCAGCATTGTCCTTCTCTTCAAACTTTTCATCTTGCGAATCTAGCCAGACGAGACTATAGATGATGGCCTAAAGTTTCTCGCAACTACTTGTTTTATGACTTAGATGATGAGACCCTAGCTTACTTCTCTAATCTGTGCAAGTCTAATCTGTTTATGAATAGCAGAATGACGTGATAATAGTGCTTATTTTGATACTGTTTTCAAACGAAAATGTGTCTACTATTGACTAAAAATGGATAAGAATCACGTTAGCTAAGGCAACACAAGTTCTTGGTTAAACGTGTTAAACATGTAGATGACATGTCAAATTTTTTTGACACGTGGCAGAATGTTGACACTCCATCCTATGAAGTTGGGGCCACATATGGTACGATAGAAAAAGCAATATCCTTCTTTTAAAAAATGGGTCCGGATAACGGAAAAGTACCCTCCCGGCTATGAACCTTCTGTAACGACATGCAGTCTATCGTTACTGATCGGAAACGATTACTTCTGGGATCTCGTACTATCTCACAATTTCTACTACAAAAGTCTTCCGGAAGGATATCGTCTCCTGCATACTAGCATTGGTGATATCATCTTAAAAAGAGCAATCGACACGAGAATGAACGAGTGCAGCCTTGTTTCCATTGACAGTGACAATAATGACGCCGCAAATCCCGCAAATCACAATGATCTTTGTGAGCTTGTCAGTCGTTTCTGGAAACTAGAGTCGATCGGAATTTTAGACAACCCCGATCAAAGTGATGACGAAGAATGCCTCAGACATTTCAATGACACCATCTATTACGACTCCACTGAGAAGAGATATGTTGTCACATTACCGTTTAAAGCGGATCCCAGCACAATTCCAGACAACCACGCTCTAGCCTTTTCGCGTTTATGCAACCAACTAAGAACTTTACAAGAAAACCCCAGATACCTAGGGAAGTATCACGCCGTCATTGAAGATCAACTACAGCGGAACATCATTGAAGAAGTACCACTTGAAGAAATTCACCAACCGTGTCATTATCTGTCCCACCACGGTGTTCTGAAAAAAGACGACAAGGACCTGAAAATTCGTTGTGTCTACGATGGTTCTGCGAAAATGAAAGGACAGATGAGTCTTAACGAAGCTCTACATAGAGGCCCAGTTCTCCTTCCTGATCTCGTCGGAATCCTTCTGCGCACAAGACTGTGCAAAATACTGATTTCCAGTGATATCGAAAAAGCTTTTCTTATGGTCGGTTTGAACCACAAATCACGGGATTACACCCGATTTCTCTGGCTGAAAGATCCACATAGGCCTCCTACTCAAACTTGGTTACCTACCGGTTTACACGAGTCCCGTTTGGACTAGTATGCTCTCCATTCCTCTCGCTGGAACTATCCATTTTCATCTCTCTTCATCGGCCACTGACTTATCCAGGCACATTATTCGGAACACCTACGTCGACAACGTCTTTTACGGCGCCACGGACATTGATGAAGGAATCAGCTTCTATAAAAAATCCAAGGAACTCTTTCAAAAGGCAGGCATGAACCTTCGGGCCTTTGCCAGTAATGCCGAAGAACTCAATGAATACTTCGGGAAAAGAGAAATAGAAGCGATTCCCAAGATCCAAAAACTCCTCGGTTTGCAGTGAGATCTCAACAGTGACGAACTTTTCATACCTTTACCGGAAAAGCCATCAAGCAACCTACTATGGACGAAAAGAAAAGTTTTGAAGCACATTGCAAGCTTCTACGATCCACTTGGCCTTTTCTCTCCTGCACTACTAACCGGCAAAGTTTTCCTCCAATCACTGTGGAAAGAAAAGCTGTTATGGGACGATGCCCTACCCACTGAGAAAGAGAAACAATGGGAAAACATTTTATCGAGTTGGAAGATCCAAGAAATGTCAATTCCTCGCCTTGTAATGGATTCCCAGAAGGAAGCTTCGTATGAATATGACCTCCATGTATTTGCTGACGTTTCATCTGCAGCATATTGTGCGACATCCTATCTTGTACAAAGGATAAAAAACAAAACGGTCCGAACTTCTCTGCTAATATCCAAGTGTAGACTAGCACCACTCAAGAGCTCTATGACAGTTCCACGACTCGAGATAGCAGCACTCATGATCGGCTCAAAACTTCTGACTTATCTCGTGAAAGAACTCGACCTGCACATCTCGAAAAAGTTCCTATGGACGGACAGTATTGTAGCCTTGTACTGGACGAAGAACAACAAAAATCTACCGATTTTTTTGTTAAGAATCGAGTAAAAATAATTCTTGACAATACTTCCGACGTGATGATCCTGCACGTACCCACTGAAGTAAACCCAGCTGACTTAGGAACTCGAGGATGTACGATCGAAGAGTTGATAAAAGAAGACCTGTGGTGGTTTGGACCTTCTTTTCTTCGAGAAGAACAAGACAAATGGCCGGAACATGCACGCAATATTCTCCAAGAAAATTCTCTTGAGAATAATCAAGAACTAGACGCACTGGAAAAACATCTAACAGTTGCGAATTTTTCTCAAAATCCTAGAAAGCACCTCTCAAAACCGAAATCAATCCACTCTTGGACTTGAAAAGATTTAGTACTTGGACCAAGCTACTCCAAACGATGATGTTTGTGCTGAAATTTCTCATAAAGGAATCCAAACAAGCAGCAGATCTTTTCGGTAGCACCAAAGTCGTACTGCTTCAACGGAGCGAGACTATACTGTTCCGTCTGGCACATTCATCTTATCCTCCTTCTAGCGAAGCCAAAAAGCAATATCGACTTTTCACTTGTGAAAAAACCTTCCTGTGGAAATCTCATGGACGTATCGAGCATGCCAACTTACCAACATCAGCCATCACACCAATCTTCTTTCCTCGTGAAAGTCGAATAACTATTCTCTACATACTACATGTCCATCAAATGACCAACCATACCGGTGTATCACACCCTCACGCTTTTGAGACAGAGAGTTTGGATACCCAAAGAACGCGCCACAGTGAAAAGGGTTATCCACAACGAATGCTTTCACTGCAAGAGGTTTCGATCCAAACCATTTACCCTTCCTCCTTTTCCCGCACATCCGGAACGAAGAGTAACTCCTCCGCAATATCCTTTCGAAAACGTCGGAATGGATTTTTTTCGTCCTTTGACCTACCGTATCAGCGCCAACACTGACGAAAAATACTGGATGTTGCTTCTCACTTGTCTAAACTGTCGAGCAGTTTACGTAGACGTGATACTAGACATGACAACTGTCACGGTACTGCACATGTTAAGACGTTTCATCGCCACTATCGGGTGTCCAAGATGGATCCTGTGTGACAACGCACAAACTTTCAAGACAATCAACCAATGCTATTCTTCACTGCCAGTACCCGACATTGACGAAGACATCATAGATTACTGTGCCAACCACCGAATCCAGATGAAATTCATACCCAGCCTCAGTCCATGAAGGTGGAGTTTACGAAAAAATGGTGGACATCTTCAAAAATCATACCGGCACGCTATTGCCAATCGCCGACTCGACATTGAAGAAATCCGAACTTTGGCAAAGGAAGCCGAAGCTATAGTTAATACGAGACCGCTCACATACTACAGTGACGAAATTTCCTTCCAGCCTCTGCGCCCCATCGACTTTCTACGTCCGCATGTTCGACTCTGTGGTCTTTATCCAACCGAATCACAAGACCAATGGTCACCTTTCCCAACTACCAGGGACACTCTGCTCGCCGAGTGGAATCGAACATCTGACTTAGTTTCCACGTTTTGGACTCGATGGAGCACAGAATATCTTACAACTATGCGAGAACAGTACAAAACGGAACCTACAACTCCCAGATCCCATTCAACAGGGACTCCAAAG